ACCCTGTCACAATGGCGGCATCAGCTCTCCAGGAGGAGCGGGAGCTTGCCATCCATCCCATCATCGGTACCAGCGTCCAGCACAACACACAGGTACGCTTGTTGAATAGTCACGCCATTCCCTGTCCAGCTTCCGCTTGGCACCCGCGTTCTTTATCTGGCAGACTGAATGGTGCTTGCTAGAAAACCGCTGATGTATCTTCAAGGTCGTCTCGAATATTCGCAATCTCACAGCCTCATTATTCGGCGTCGCAGCCGGAACGCTGGGCCTCGAATCATATACCGGCTTCATATTCTACCTTCTGGGATCGCTCTTCGTCTCAGCATTGCTCTTTTCACTGAAGGCACATGGCAAGCCTAGCACATACTTCTACAAGCCACTCGGCGACATGTGGCTTGGTGATGTTTTTGGAGGTCTCAGTGGGTTCGTACTAACGTGGACACTATTCTATGGTCTAGTCAGGGCGTGAGGGGAACAGATGCTGGATTGAATACACTTGTGCCTACGGTTCCATCATGACAGCCAATATCGACGGGGGTCAAGACGGTCCTGCAAATATCGACGGCAGTGTGGGATAGAACCGCAATTATTTTGGCAGACTCATGAAGGGATTGGACGGTGCTTTTCTATAGTAAAAGAAACATACTTCCAATACCCAAGGAGAGCATTTTAGAATGCAGCGGGACCATGGATGCCGGATTCACAGCTCACATCAAGTCCAATGTGGCTCGAGAGGCTCCAAAGCCTCAGCGCATGCGCCCTGTCGCACCAATAATGCAGTATAATCAGTTACAATGGATGGCTCTTTGCAAGCATAACATCAGTCGTGTACTTGTTATATTCCAAACGAACTGTCTTCACTCGAGGTGTCCCGGTGGCCCCTGCTTGCCCATTAAGCCTTTGTGCCTTAGCGCGTAGTTGACGCGTTTGTCCACCGCTTTCGCGTTTCCCCCTCCATTAATTGTTTGCCTCGTCCACATTCACATCGCTTGCACCCACTCCTTGTATATTCACTTGCAGCATTCACTGTACTCTGATCATTCTGCCCAGCCGCAAAAAGTAAGACTTCCCACCCTCAGTCTTTACTTGGACTTGTTACTGACATGTTACAGTGCTCGAGGCACGCCTGGATCAAGCTCAACTTCTCAAAAAGGTACCGCGACGCTTAGGAGAGCTGCCACCGCCCTGCTGATTACAAAAAAAGGTTGTCGATGCAATCAAAGACCTTGTTCAAGACTGCAACTTCGACTGCAATGATTCAGGTATCGCGCTACAGGCAATGGACAATTCTCATGTCGCTCTCGTGTCCATGCTGCTACGGTCCGAAGCCTTTGCTCCCTTCCGCTGCGACCGAAACATTGCTCTCGGCATCAATCTCAGCTCGCTCACAAAAGTCCTTCGCGCAGCACAGAATGAGGACATGCTCACAATCAAGGCCGAGGATGCGCCTGATGTCGTCAACCTAGTCTTCGAGAACAAGACGAGCGACAGGATCAGCGAGTACGACATCAAGTTGATGGATATCGATCAAGAACACTTGGGCATTCCAGAGACAGAGTACGCCGCAACCATAACCATGCCCGCACCAGAGTTCCAGCGCATCTGCAGGGATCTGAGCGCTCTGTCGGAGTCAGGTAAGCCAAAAACTATAGGCAACGAGGCTTGATCGGCAACTGCTAATAGGAGATAGTGGCCATTGAGTGCACAAAGGATGGAGTTAAATTTGCTTGTCAAGGTGACATCGGCTCCGGCTCTGTTCAGCTCAGGCAGAACAGCAGCTTAGACAAGCCAAGCGAGGCTATCGAGATTGACCTGACTGAGCCTGTGTCTCTGACCTTCTCTCTAAAGTACCTGACCAACTTCTGCAAAGCAAGTGGCTTGTCAGAAACAGTCAAGCTGTGCTTGTCTAGCGAAGTGCCTCTCCTCGTAGAATACGGCCTCACAAGCAACAGCTACCTGAGATTCTACCTCGCGCCCAAGGTAAGTCATTCGTAGTCTTTTCTGCATACTGATACTGACGTGCATATAGATTGGCGATGAAGAATGATGGAATACAAAGTAGCTCTGTTTGACAAGCATTATAATAAGCATTTAAGTGGAGGAACGTATGGAACTCGTGGCGCAATGTTTTTGGTATAGCTACAGTGCAGCCCATGCTCGCAGGTCGTTTCGGCGTGTCTCGCCAACTCGACACGCGATCCGCAACTGTTCCGCGCCCTCGGCTCAGTAGGATAGTACAAGCCCCACCAACGTTTTCACGCCTTCGCGCGGGACATCAGTTAAGGCATCAACAATATACCTTCACACTTCAAACGTGTCTTATTCTTCTTTAGTCCAAGACTAGTTAAACACTTGCTTTGACCAATATGACCCTGGATGCGCCTGTACCAGATACGCGGGTCCTGGCGATTGCCAGCCATGTAAGACTCACAGGCACATGATGAAGCAATAGCGACTGACCGTATATAGGTCGTTTATGGGTGAGTGCATTCAGACACTGTTCGTCTCTCGCTAACTTGTACTGAGCTATGTCGGTAACAAGATGGCTACCTTTGTGATGCAAGCCATGGGCTGTGACGTGTCTGCGATCAATACTGTGAATTACAGTAAGTTTTTCCAGAACGACGATAGACTTGCAGGAACGGGTTTTAACATTATATAGGCAATCATACTGCGTACAAACAGGTTAAAGGCACAAAAACATCAGCTGGCGAGATGCTCGAGCTCTACGAAGGCCTGCAACAATCGAATCTCGCCAACTTCGATGTATTGTTAACGGGATACATGCCTAGCGCTGAAGCAGTCCAAGCCATAGGGAGGATTGGTAGGGACATCAAGTTCAACGCTGGTACAAAGCCAGGAAGCTTCTTCTGGGGTATGATGGAGTTGTCTGTTATGGGCTTGAGCTGATGTTCGTTCTTTAGTACTTGATCCAGTCATGGGAGACAATGGTAAATTATACATCCCAGTAGACGAGGTCCCGGAATATAAGGCGTTGCTGCGTGAAGCGGACCTCATTTTGCCAAACCAGTTCGAAGCCGAGTAAGTGGACTGTTTGCATGGCGTGATGAGGAAAGTACTGATTTGACACAAAGACTACTATCTGATACACCCATCACTGATCTCAAATCTCTTGCTACTGCTATTGAAGTACTGCACAAGACCTATCAGGTCCCACACGTCATCATCACCTCCCTCCGTCTAACACGCGACAACCACACCATCTCTCCCCGTGTGCCAACTAGACCAAGTTCAAAGGCCGGAACAGGCACACACACCCCTTCCGAGTCGCAACCCTTGACCGCAGCCACCTCCCACCCCTCGACCTGGGCAACATGCAACCCATCTTCCAACCCACAAGCACCAGTCCAAGAACAGGACGTCGAAACCCTCACCATCATCGGCTCCACCGCAACATCAGACCACAAAGCCCGCCTCTTCCGCATCGACACCCCCCAACTCCCCCTCTTCTTCTCAGGCACAGGTGACATGTTCGCCGCCCTCACCATCCCCCGCCTCATCGAAGCCGTACGCGCCGGCTCGACCCCAGACTCGGACCTCCACGCCACACCCAGCTGGCGCTCCCCCGACGCCGTGCCCGCGACCGAGTTGCCGCTTGCCAAGGCCTGCCAGAAGGTGCTCGCGTCGATGCAGGCTGTGCTTACCAAGACGGCGGATGCGTGTCGTGATAAGATGGAGGTGTTTGAGATGAGGATGGGCAAGGTGGGGGCTGGGTTGGGCGGGGATGCGGAGATGGAGAAGAGGAGGCATTTGGCGCTTACGCAGGCGAGTGAGGTGCAGGTGGTAAGGCATGTTGGGGAATTGCTGGAGCCGCGGGGGTTGGAGAGGTTTACGCCGAGGGCTGTGTGAGGTGTGTGAGGTGTGTGCGGCGATGGGTGGTCTGGGGGGGAAATGAGGGGGTCATGCAGGCTTTGATTTCAATGTTGTCATGGCATAGGCTATGCGATGGGGGTTGGCAGCATAGGAGGTCTAGAGTGTCTTGCTTTTTTCTACCAATGTTCTCACTCTTGTGATGTACAAGTGCCCACATCTCCATGTCACACAATGCTCTCCTCCAACCCAATGCCATAGTCTCCCCCAAACTCTCCACAATCTATCCCCTCAAGCCGCCTCCACACCCCCAAACCCACCCGTACTCCCAAACCCCCCCGCGCCCCTCACACTCTCCTCCAACTTGTCCACCACCACCACCTCGGGCATCACAATCCGCTCGACAATCAACTGCGCAATGCGATCGCCCACCTTGACCTCGAAGTCGTCGTCGGACAGGTTGGCGAGGATGACGCCGACGGGGCCGCGGTAGTCTGCGTCGATGACGCCGGCGAGGGTGTCGATGCCGTGTTTGTGGGCGAGACCGGAGCGTGGGGCGATTCTGCCGTCTGTTGGGGGGGGGGGTTTTGTGTTAGTTGGGGTGAGCATGGGGGATGGGGGATGGAGGTATGTGTGACGCGTGAGGAGTGGATGGGGGCGTGAGGAGTGGA